GGGGCTTCCAGCCGAGCACCACCCACCCCAGCGTCTTCCCCCGGTATCGGCCCCCCCAGGGCATGCCCTACCCCTACCAGCCGCAGCCTCAACCTTCCTACCACCACTACCAGCGACCGCCCTACTACGCTTGTCCACAGGGCTACTCGGACTGGCAGAGGCCTCTCCACCCCCAGGCCAGCCCCAGCGGGCACCCCACCGCCCACCCGCCCCTGGCCAGACCCCCTTTCCCGGACCGGGGGTCCGCCAGCAGCTTGCAGGGCTGCGAGGCACTGAGCGCCACCCTGTCCTCTCCCAACCGCATGGACATAGCGAGTGCCAAAGAGGTTTCTCCGAGCGAAGGGCAGGATCTGGGGCCTGAAGATGAGAAGTCCGAGGAGTCCCAGGAAAGACCGGAGAGTCCCAAAGAGTTTCTTGATTTGGACAACCACAACGCAGCCACGAAGAGGCAAAGCTCGGTGGCAGCAGGGGAGTTCCTCTATGGAGCTCCCCCACCACACCTGGGTTCAGGGATGGGATTTGGCCCATCAGCTTTCCCTCCCCACGGGGTGATGCTACAGACTGGCTCTCCTTATGCATCCCGGCATCCTGCCAGTCACTTCCAGCCCAGGACGTATGGATCGCCTATGAATGCTCACCTGTCTCATCACCCAGCCTCTGGCCAGGCCAACGGCCTCTCTCAGGAGGGACCCCTGTACCGCTGCCGAGAGGATAACGTAGGTCACTTTCAGGCCTTGCTGATGGAGCAGAGAGGCAGTGGAGGTGGCATGGGGGTGCCACCCCAGGACTTGTATAGACCCTCGGGGTAAGATTCTGTTTTCTGCAAGAAGGCAAGGTGGGAGGGGGGTGATGCCTGGGTGACCATAAGTGTTGGATACCCTTGAAAGGGTATGGCTTGAAGTCAGAGGAGGTGGCAAGCGAAGTTCAAAGGCTAACAGGTGACTCTTAGACCCTTGGAATAAGTGGTCTCCTAAGCTGGAGAGAGAGTCTCATTGCAGCTCCTTAAAACAAATAGTAATCACTATCACGGAGACTTGTTAGCCTGTCCTATCCATCCCCATAGTGTTTTGTTTTCTGACAGTGTTGTGTTAATGTGTCATCCAGGGTTGTGTATCTCTTAATCAAATGGACTCTTGCCATTTTCTTTGCAAATATTTTATTGCATCTTTTTCATAGTAGGGCAGAGTAGCTAACCAAAGTGGAAGTTGGCCTCTTGTTATGAACTCCTTTACTTTAATGTCGCCCACTTTTTCCTCTCCTCTTGCTTGGCCCTTTGTCTCTGTCTCAAATTTCCCTCAGAGAAAATTACTTCTCATTGGGGATGTGCATATCACATTTTTTTTTCCCAAGTGGAAGATTCTGCTACTCCAAAAATTCCCTGTTCAGATTTTATAAATGTGCTTTGACTGTTACTGTTTTGTCATAGTCCCAGCATGACAGTCCTTCTTCTAGTATTCAGGGAGCTTGGCTTACAACTAAGCCATTGCGGGAGTGGCATGGATTAAAGGTTGTGCTTTGGGGGGAACCCAGGAAGAATACACGAGATTCGTGCTTGTATGCAAATGTTGTATGTACGCATTCAGCAAAGTAGATGGGATTTGCTCTTAATGTTCATGTGCTAAAACTCTCTCCATTCAACCTGGCTCCAGAATGCAAATGCATCAGGCTCAAGTTCCCTTCCCGAAGATGCCTACAGCAACCATGTCCCGGGAAGATCTGTCATCACAAAAACCATCAGCGTTGCCTCTGGACCAAGTAAGGACTGCTAGAGAGAGCAGAGTTGAAATGCGAGTCTTTCTCTTCCCACTGGTTAAAGGAGTGAAGTATTTGATGAGAGTGGGAAGCACTGGAGGAAACTGGGAAGTGAACTACTGCTATGCAGAGGTGTTGGGCATGGCTCTATAGTCTTAGCTGACTGTAAAACTTAATCTAGGAGGACCGATAGTGCTAGCTTTGAACTGGTTGCATGAAATCATGACATGCCTTTCTAAAGCTGCCAGTTAAAGCCTCCAACTCTTGTTTTTCCTTTTCCAGAGCTAGTCCGAGGAAGGAAGGACCTCACGAAGACGAAAGCCACACGTGATTTGGACAAGGGGGAGGAGGGGCAGGCCTTCCTCCCACCCTCCCCTCGCCCGAGCAGCATGTAGCTTCCTGGGTCCGTTGTGCTGGAAACCTGGAGTGGTGCTGGGCCCCAGCCAGCCAAGCAGCTGGCTCACCACCACAGGGCAAGCATCACAAACTAGTGGCTTTCCGTGACCGGAGACTGCGTCTCGTTCAGGGTTTGAGGGATTTTTTTGGGTGGGGAGGGCGGGGGTGGGGGCAGAAACTTTCATTGACTGCTAAACTCAGGTATATTTTTCAGGGTGGAAGAGGACGATGATGGAATTTACTTGTAGTATTAACGTGTGTGTTTTGGAGCTGGATCCAGTTTACAGAATTTAACCTGTTGCCTTTTTAAATAAATTTCTGTTGTTGGTGAATGTATTGTACATAATGGGGGAGGGGGTGGGCCCAGCTTGTAGTGGGCTTAGCACTGGAGGAATCCTTAACTGTTTACAATCATATCACACTGAAATCTTTCAGGATAAGGTGAGGGTTTAGAGGGAGCAGGGAGAGGTGAGGGAACGTGTGATGGATGACTTGCTGTCCTCCTTCCTGTCCTCTGCAACTGAGACACGACCCAACAGTTTGTTGACTTAATAGCAGGAATTGCTCAGGAGCATAACGTGTCCTCCTCTTTCTCTTGTCTTCTTCCTCCTTCCCCTCTCACCCTGACCTCTGCCCCTCTGGATCCAGGGCCTGAGTGCACTTCCAGCTCCTGTCATCATGGGGGAACAAGGAAACCAGGACCAGGATTTGAAACCAGAACAGGATGCTCATGGCCTTGTCCCTTCTGCTAGTATAGTGCCCTTCTCCCTGCCTTTCTGATAGGAGAAATGTACGCTCTAGAAAACAGAAAATTACATAACTGGTCATCTTAGACTACTTTCACTGAAACTGGTGGAGCAGCACCTATGCAGTAGAACAAATATTGTGCAAATCTGTACTGCCCTGCTGCCCCAATGAGTGGAGCCAAGTCCCCACCTTTCTTTCTCTGTCCTGTAGCTACATTCACTTCATAGCAGCAGCGAAGCAGAAAGTACCCCGGGATTCCTGACCGCTCTTGTTTGCCTGTGAAGGAGGAGCATGAGGCTGCTTTGGGAGAAGCATTGGTTTGCCGCAGTGCGAGCTGTTTGTTGGCCTATGGAGTTCAATTTGGTGTTTGCGAGTTGCAGGTGGATCAGAAAACACTGATTTGAAATCAAATGTTGAGGTGGTGTGGCTCAGGGGGTGAGGGACATGAAGGCCACATGCTCAAGTTGACTTGGTTTACCTTTGTCATCGTTGATGATGTAGCAGCAAGTCCTATAGGGCTAGTGGCAGCTTCCCTCAGTGGCTGTGTTCAGTCTGCAGGGTCTTTCTTCACCAGTTGCAGTACTGCATTGGGGAACCCCCGTGCGCTAGTGCTTCGCCAGGCACTGACATTCAAATGTGGGTTTGACAAATGAGTTCAGTAGGAATCTTATCTGCAGATGCTTATTCACATCTTAAACCTAACAAGGAAATACAGTTGATTATTCTTGGGGAAGCTGGGGTAAAACAAGGTGGAGTTGCTACATGACAAGATTGGGCAGCAAGATCAGCTGGGACCACAGCCCTAGTTCAGGCTGCTGCAGGTTGCCCCAGGAGACAGCGGTATGGTTAAAAGGAGGATGTGCCAATGTGTTGGACAAATTGTGCTAGCAAGAGCACAAGTGACAGCAGACGTGAGGACAGAGCAGCATGCCTTTCAGTCTGTGGTGCCAGCTAGGGAGTCTTTGTCTCCAGGTTTCTGGAGAATTCTTCTGGCTGCTTTGTTGTCTTGGATGGTGCCATCACCTGTATCTTTAGCTGGATTGCACTAACATGCACAACTGCACCGCTTTGTTCCTGCTGTGTAGGTCTACCGTGTACTGGCAAAGCTGTTTGAGCAAGTAGCAGGTAGCATCTGACTGAGCCATTACTCCTCCTGTCCTAAGCTTTTGGAAGCACAAGAAGCCTAAAAGATGAGAAATACACTTTCTTGAAATAGAACAAGGAAGAACTGCCAGATTAGTGTCCTTTTACCAATGGGTCTCGCTGCTCTGATGCTACATTACTTTTGTGTCTGACAAACTGTGTAGGGCTAAGGCATTTTCCAAGTCTAACAGGAGTTAAACTTCTTCATGCCATTCCCACAAGCATTCCCATAAACAGAGTTCTTCTTACTCACTGCTGCAGCTAGCTTGTGAACTGTAGCTGCTGTCTGCTTAGCCCAGCTCCTCCGCAAAGGAAGACTTCAATATAATGTGAATTACTTCCAATATCTTGTCTATAGATGCCATTACATTATGAAAGGGAGATTTCTTGGAGTGGGTTTTTTTTTCATTTATGTTCTTCTGTCAGGGAGCAATTGTCACTGGTGGATTGGTATAAACTGGAATAGATGATCCTGAAGGTTGTTCTTTGACTGAGAAGCAGATAAATTCTCTCCCCAGCCAAGAACCTTATGCTGTGGCTCATCCAAATTTGTCCCAGATCTGAGGGTCTGCTGCTGGCTTGTCAGCTGGCAGTGGGTTTTCAGAGGTGCCCCAGCAGCTCAAAAATGCAGGTCTGGTTCCTTCCCTGAAAGGAGGTACTGAAGCAGTAGTAGGTATTTGTGAAAAACTGTGCGAGTATAACTGCTCTTCAAGACAATAAACCTGGGACAAAGGAAAACACAGTTGCTTCCCCTTGTAAAGCAATCTTTAGTTCATTGTAGATATAAAATAATTTGAAATAGCACATTTAAAAACAGAGGGACTGTGAAATATAGCTTGTAGCAAAGTATTTGAAATTCTGGAAATGAAAATGTAGATTCTACAAAGAACCCCTGCCATTCTTCAGCCTGTGTCTTGTGTATCACAGTTAGTTACCCGAATATTTGAAGTGCCTTTCATTCAGCTCTTTGTGAACTTTGTGGAATAGGACATTTTTAGAAGCTATTAAAAAAAAAAAAAAAAGCCAAAAAAACCCCCAAACAACCAAGCTGAAGCACTCTTGGCCTTCAGCTGGAACTGGCACTGAAAACATGGTTCTAGTGGTCATGGTATCTGGATAAGTACCAAGCCCAGATCAAAACAGGGGAGAAATAAGAAAGGCAAGAATTGCTTGTGGTCTGCCTGGAGAGCGTAGTGAAGTGTTAGACGGTGATAGTTATCCTGAGGACCCTGTATGGAGTGTGCTACCTGAAGACACTTTCCCTTACCTGACATAATGCAAATCTGGGAGAAGAGTTTGACTTGCAGATGGTAGACAAAACAGATTAGTGAAGCTGACTCCTCCTGGGAGGGTTTCTAGGTAAATGGCTTTGGATGTAGTCAGTAATTCTTATTAAAATGACTAACAAGCTGCTGTTGTGAGGACATATGGTTTATATTAGAAGAGTACTAATATAGCATAGGGGGAAACTATGGCTGAGCTACAGCGATAGGGCTGTCCTGGGGACAGGGCGCCCTAAGACGGAGAGCTGCTTGTGGAATCTTAGCTCGGAGTTTCCAGACTTTCAAATGCTTTGTTCATAAGTGTTTGGGGTTTGTTTTTTTTCTTTTATGATGATATCTAGGGATCCCCCAAAAGTCAGAGCTCTATCTTGCTAGGTACAATCTGAGCAAATCACAGAAAATTGGTGCCCCTCAGAAGACACAGGGCTGGGGGTGGGACAGCAGTGGAAACGTATGGAGAGGAGTGGAAAATGTGGATTTTATAGTTTAGGGTTTCCGAACCCGTTCTGCACAGGGCTGCTCTGTAGATATTGTGAAAAAGACAGTTTTAAGAGGGGTTGAGAAGAAAGTAAAACGGCAGCTCTTTATGTACAGAGTGGAGCTTTTTTGCAATGGGTTGGCAGGGAATGCAGAAGAAATGTAGCTACATTTTAAAATACACTGGCTTTTGAGTGCCATAGTTGTGTCACAATCTTAAATAATATTTTAACACAATACAGAGAAATTCTAGACTCTGGTTGGAAGCCCTCTTTCTAATCCCCCAGCATTGTTGTAGAATAATATATTACCACTTTGTCCTTTTTCAGAAAGCATCCTGAGCTAGCGACTTTTCAAAGTTCCCTGTATCTATTACTTTTCCCATACGGAGAATGTGTTTTGCTATAATTATGGATTTCATGTTAAATGAGACTATACAGTACATAGAACAAATATAATATTGACCATGCTTGAGCATGCCAAAAATTTCGTATATTCTCAGAAGAGCTTTGTAGGCTACTCTGGCTTTTTAGCCTCTTGCTTTACCCACCGCCTCCTCCTTTGCAAGTGGTGTGTGGTGTTCCCAAGCTCCCAAAATGTTCAATTCCCATTGTAAATGCCACTGTATAAACTCCCCCTGGGACTCTGGAAGCTTTGGGCATCTTAAGTACTACAGGCCCTGGCGATTCAACTAAGTATTTTAAGGCGGCCAGTCACTGAGCCTTCACAGTGATTTTTAGCTGTGTCAAGAAGTTTGCAGTCTATAAATTCCATGGTGTGGCCCACCAAACCACTCAGTAGCAATCCAAGTCACCAGCCTGCAATGAGGAGGACAAAAGAGGAAAGTAAATTTGAAGCTTCAAGGCCCGACTGGTTTGATTTGTGACTTTAAAGTACATGGAGACACTTTTCTTGGAAGAGCTTCTGATTCTTTCTCATCTGCCAAATGCCTTTCCCATACAGACTTTCTGAAACAAATCTCCTGTGTATATTTTTGTAAGTGTGGTTTCTCGGGGTCTTGCAGAGCTATCAGCTTCTTGATGTCTTATCTGAAAGCTAGTCTCAGAGGCTGTTTTTCATTCTGCTGACTGAGGCAGTTCTGCAGCTTCTCACCCCAACACTTCTCCATTTAAAATGAAAGTATAATTAGAAAACAACCTTCCTTTATTTCCTTTAGTGATCTCTGTCAGTCTTCTGTCAGATCTCTGTGTTCAGCCAGGGCTGTTGCTTTGTTCTCGATGGCTTCGTCCTGCTTTTCTTTTCCGAGAAGACAGTGTTGCCATATGCATTGTGGAATTTCAGAGAAGGTGCCGAACTGAGTGACAGGGAAGTGCCATCCCAAGGGGTGGCTTGGAGAAGGAACAGCAGAATCTGTGGTGGTGTGGTTGCTCCCGATTCCCCTCACTGCAGAGCAACCATGCATCTGGGTCTGCACTGAACGAGAGCAACCACCTAAAAGTTTTTGTTGCAGTGCATTGGTGGTAAGGGGAGTTTGCTCTTGCAGAATTCCTGTTTTGCTTTAAGTCCAGCACTGGTGGTTGAAGAGCAGGTGTGTGAGTGCCGCATCCTTTCTGTAAGGCCCAGATTGAGATAGCAGGCTATGAAAGTAGCATTGCAGCTGCAGGCCATGTGACAAGCTTTAAGAGCATGTG